AATATAAATTATTATGATAAACATATGATTAATATAATTAACACTGCTGTATGTTACATATGAATTGTTAAGAGTTAATCCTAAGAGCTCTCAACACAGGAAAATTTTTTTTTCTATTTCTTTTATTTTCTACCCATATAAGATAATGGACATTCCCTCAACTTATTGTGATAATCACTTCATGATGTATGTAAATCAAATCCTTATGTTGTACACCTTATAATTATACAGTGCTGTATGTCACTTATACTTCAATAAAACTGGAAGAAAAAGTATGTTCCTTAAACCTGGAGGACACAGGGATGGGAAGCAGAAGAGGAAGTTAGGGCCAGACTGGGAAGCTCTTTGTAAGCCATCCTTTGACTCTGCAAAAACCAGCAAGCAAAAAAAAGATTTAATCAAGAAAAAAATAATCCGTCAAGCACTATACCTTGATTAAAAAGATTTAATCAAGAAAAAAATAATCCGTCAAGCACTATACCTTGTTAAATATGATATATTCTGATGTTGTTCAGTCCTCGTTGAACAAGTGAATGTTGATGGACACATGAGTGTGCACAGACAAGTGACAGGAGCAGCAGAAAAAATGCAATAAAGCTTAGACCCAAATCCTCTTTGTTGTTAACAGAGAGGAGGTACAGAACCAAGAAGAGTATGCTATTCAAAGTCAGATGACCTGGATTTAAATCCCAACTTCCACTAACGAGTTTTAAGAAAGTCAATTAAAACTCCAGGAGCTTCAGTTTTCTCATCTGCAAAATGAGACTAAATTCCAGATTTAGAGTTTTTGTAGGAACTGAATGGACTATCGTATAAACTATAAAACGCTACATAAATGTTGCTTCACTATTCATACCTTACATATTAAGATACTGCATTCTTAGTCTACTTCTTATAATCTCAGGCCTGATCTTGTTCTTGGATCAAAACACACACACACACACACACACACACACACACACACACAGAGTCGTACCTAGCATAAGATCATGGGCCATGGTCAAGAAGCATCCTTCTCCTACGGGGTAATTAACAGCTATCAGCTAGTCTCTACTTAAACTGGAATGACCTTTGGACTTTGGCATATTTTGTACTGTCTCTTCACTCCATTTCTTTCCATTCTCCTCCTATCCCCTGTCTACCTCCGCAGCCCTTCCTCATTCATATTCTTGGAGGGCTTCTTTTTTCATTGCCCCTTTTCTGCACAAATTGTATTTTAAACAAACCTCTTTTGGGCTTTCTATGATTCAATTCTGGGAGATACTTTATGTCTAAAACTTGAACGCAAAATAACTTTATTTCTAAAAAGTCTAAAACTTGAACGCAAAATAACGCAGCCAAAACCTTTCTAGCTAAATGACGACAGTTGAACTAAGCACTCCCTTCGGTATCTTAACTCTATTTTGAAAACATGAGAAAGTATTTCGGATCTCTGAATCAAAAGGAGGAAAAAAACGGCGGCAGCAGAATATCAAAACTTTAAGTTCCCAGTCTTTCCTGTACTTTATAGCTAAAACCAATAGATGGAGCTCCAGGACCACGGGAAATGAGAAAGCGGCGGGATGTCTACTCATTTCAAAATACACTGAAATCCTGAGCCCCGTACGTCGTGGAAAGCTGGCAAAGGACCCGGGGGCTGATAAGGGGCTTGTTAACAGCCAAGTAAATCTCAAGCCTTGAGCTGTGGGTGTTTGAATGACCTCGCCCGTCTATACGACATCAATGTGCCCAGTCCTCCTATTAAATTCAAGAGCGGGACCAGTGATACAGGCTTTCCCATCAGCGGACGCACGTGACACAGAAACCTCCGGGAGCCGCGGTCCGGAGCCGCCCTCCGCCGCCTCACCTGACGGGGGCGCCCGCAGCACCAGCGCGGAGAACAGGACCACCGCGGCCCGGGAGAGCGGGAAGCCCCGCCGCGCTCGGCCGGGGGCCGAGACCTCCATCCACCCGCCGCCGCCGCCGCCGGCCGACACAGCGCAGAAGGTCGTTAGGCAGCTCGCGCCCACCCGCCCGCCAGCGGGCCGGAAGGGGGGCCAGAAAAAGGGCCACCACTTCCGGCAGGGCGGGGGCGGGGCTGGACGGGTAGTGGAGTTCTGGGGGTCGCGAAGTCGCCCGCCGTCAGGACCCTGCTGTCGCGCAGCCAACCCGGAAAGCATAGGCGACCTGTGGAAAGTTGTGGAGCCACAGAAGAGTCGCGGGCAGAGGGACGGGCTGGCCGAGTCTGAGTGTTGAGGCCGACTCTGGACCACAGGGCGAGGGTCACGGGAGTGAGGGCTGGTCCAGCCCGAGAGGGCTGCCTCTCTCTCCCGACGTCGGCTGCTGACTACCTACGGATTTATGGGACGCAACTGGGCGATGGATGCAAGGTCCAGCCACCGGGAATGGAAGTGGGCCCTGAGCCCTAGGAAGAGGCTGGGCGGGAAGAACGAGGCAACAGCCTTAGATGGAATGGACCGCATGCAGCGCTCAGCCCGAAAGATGGTCTTTTATCACCTGAGCTCAGGAAGATGCATAAAACCACCCGTCCGCCTACGTGGGCGTTTATAGCCAGAACGTGTTAGAATCCTCTGCGTTTCTGCGGTGGGAAGGATTCACTTCACGTGAAGGGAGCTACGATACAAGTAAATCTTACCCAGGTGGTACAAGTACATAGGAGAATGAAGTTTAAGCAACAGAAGACAGAATGCCCAATAACCCTGTGTAATCGGAAAAAATGAGTGGTCCAGGTGGTCTGAAAGCCATCGCTGGGTGTCCTTCTCTCCAGACGAGGGTTTTCAAACTGACAGCCTGAGCACCCACCTGAGTCCATCTCCCCGCTTGTTCGGTGGCGTATCTCGAACATTGATGCCTTAAGATGTATCTTGTTTGTGCCACAGAGAGCATCACCCCTTGCTGTCTTTCAGCTGGCCTGCTTTACCAACTATGTCTTCACAGCTAGAATCGTGTCTGTTTTGCCACCATGTTAACCTCAACTCCTGGGATAGTTCCTGGTATAAAGTAAGCATTCAAATAACCATAGTTTATTTAAAATAAAAAAAAAAAAGAACGGAAAACATCTAGCAGAAAGGAAGGAGAGTTCATTTTGGACCAGGACCAGGATGAAGACATTTCTTAAGGATTATGTAAATATCCAAAGAAGTCCTTGGTTCTTATTAACAAAGGAAATTGAAATTTCTGCTTATTTCTTGAGTTTTCTGGCTATCTTTATGCATGTGCTAATTGGTAAAATGTATTCAGTACAGTTTATTCTACTGAGTAGATTTACTTCTTTAGAAATCCTTTCTAATCTGTATAAAGTCCTGAATTGAGTACAGCCTGTTCAGGCATGTCTTAGTAAAGAGACCTGCATGATTGAGATCCAGCCATCATTTTGGTCAAGGTTTTGCACTTCCTTTGAGCACACCTAGTAAACAAATTTTACTGAATAGTGCCCAATAAATCACTATATTTATCTGGATATATATTCTGCTAAAATTCCTTTTAATTTTTATAAACAAGTCAACCTGCACAACATGATTTTTACCAAATGAACTTTGGACTCTGGACTTACAGAGAATAAAGGGCAGAGAGGACTGTTCAGACCATGCTAAATCTTGAAATCTCTGTTTTCTGTAATTCAGTCCCTCCTGCCTTGATCTGCTGTGTAAATTCCTGATATTCAACCTGAGAATAAGAAGTAATATTGGAGATCTTAATGTATGGTGTGATTCTAAAGATGGAAAGCTGATTGCTGAAAATCAAAAAGCAATAATAATTGCTTTTATTATGCAATTATATGCTTTTATTATTATATTATCCATTATTGCTGTATATTAATTGCTTCTGAAGTCTCCTTTCCCTTTAACTATAATACTCTTATATTTCTAACCACTGAGGATTGGTCAACCTAACATAGTTATTGATTTGGCTTTCTCAATGTCAATAGAGTTTTTTCTTTTAAAAAATTTTTAAGGTAAATATTTTTTCTCCATCAAAGGAAGTAAGGGATCAGAACAGAGAAAAACAAAATGAAACAGAGCCCATGTTGCTTGGCAACAGCAAGGTCTGTCATTCGTATTTGCACTTTTTACTCCAGTAGGGATGGTGTTAGCTTTGTGCCCAAATTCTACTGTCTGGAATTCCTTTGATAGCAGTTTTCATGCAAGACCAAGTTAGCTAGTTGAAATGAGCTTTTAAATGAACAGTATATTGATGATGTTTTTTTTTGTATTGAGCTAATAGCTGCTACTTACTGTAGTTTCCTGAAATGAGTTTAAGAGCTTCATTGCTCTTACCTTGACATCATGGTAGCAAAAAGGTAAGTAAGGATAATGTAGGGCATGTAAAAGATTAACCTGTACTTTGACTATAAATTGCAAGTTACTTTCCTTAAAAATTAGATACATTGATTTAACTGTAATACATGTTCATTTTTTGCACTGCATTTAAATTTACAATTTATATAAGCAGTGTGTTTTGTACTTTTTTATATCTATCAGGTAAATACTTAAAGTATATCAGAGATATGCTTTAAAAAATATATTGCCTCTTCATTAACTGCTTTATTTATACCCTTTACTGAATCTCATTTACCCATAAAGTATCAACTTATGGAAAAATTTTAAAATGAGCACAGTTTTCCTGAGCATTGCTGAGGAAACTGTCATGGAGACTTTACTGACAAGTCTGTTTTTGTTTTTCCTAAGAATTAAATTATGATGTATATAATGGTCCAATGTGTTAGAGTTCTAGCTGTTGCCAAGCAACATGGGCTCTGTTTCATTTTGTTTTTCTCTGTTCTGATCCCTTACTTCCTTTGATGGAGAAAAAATATTTACCTTAAAATTTTTTTAAAAGAAAAAACTCTATTGACATTGAGAAAGCCAAATCAATAACTATGTTAGGTTGACCAATCCTCAGTGGTTAGAAATATAAGAGTATTATAGTTAAAGGGAAAGGAGACTTCAGAAGCAATTAATATACAGTCACCCACAATTTTAAAGAGAAAGGCCGTATATATGGATTCACAGCACACACCTGGAAAGATAAGTATCTCTGAAGGATCCTTCCTTTCAAGAACAAAGGCTGTTGAGAATATAGATTATCCACACTATCATGCTCTCTTACGAAAACTGAACATGCCTTTTGTGAAAGGAGTTGAGGACAGACATGACTGTGGCAGAATTGAAAAGAAATGCAACCCTACTTTTCTTAAATTTCACCCTTATCCCCCTTCAGTCCTGCCAGACTATCATTTACACTATCCTTATCCCACACCGTACGGGCCAGATTATCCATTATTTCCACTTCGGGATGATGTACCCTTAGGTGACACCTGTTCAGGGTTTGTGAGTCCTGGTGGTGATGCTAACTTAAAGCCTGGCATTGGCAGAACCATACCAAGCTTGGTAGATTTCAGTGATGTGAAACCTCAACATCGAGTTCCCAGGCCAGACACAGGATTTCAGGCGACATTAAAAAGGAAAAAAATGTTACTAGAAGAACTAAAACAGGACAGGAGATGGAATTCCAGGGCAGTACCAGACATTTCCATCAGAGCAAGACTTGGAGGTAAATGAAGTGACATGGGCTTTGTAATTTTTAAACACTCAAATGAGAGAGAAGAGCATGGATCTAAGATTCAGTATTTAGCAGTTCATTTGACATAAAATTGTAAAAGACAAAATAAGGAATTCTTATTTTTAAATTATGGATTGTAAGGAAAAAGTAATAAGAATGATAAGCCTTTTATAAACCTGTTTGTAAAAAAATAGTTGGTTTTCAAAAAATACATTCATCAATATGTGGCCAACACAAAGTATATATCAGATAATTTATTCTAAACACACAGATAACCTAATTTTGCCACAAAGGAATTTATATTTAACTTTAATAATTGTGTATCATGCCTCCTTATCTGTCTCTGTCCTTTGAAAAAATTAATTTGCTGATGATTATCAAAGAGTTAGGTTACAGGAGCTGAAATGCAATGCGAAAGTAGTTGAAAGTAAATTTTGGGGTCTTGTAAGAACAGGAGCTGAAGAGAGGCAACCCCTGCATAAATAACTTCACGACATTCCTGGAGGCAGAATTTGATGGACACTCACTGACTTCTGCACCTTTTGGTTTCTCTCTAAGAAATCCCAGAGGCTGTCACAAGCCTGGCCCAGAAGTGGTGAGAAACTTCCAGAAGAAAGCCATGGGCAGTGTTCCTGTATGGAATGTGCCTGGTAGGCAGGGAGTGAAAAGAGATTAACATGTTTGAGCATGTGGGAAAGGCAAAGACCAAGTGCTGTAGCAAGAGATGCTGAGCTTGCTCTAGCCTTAAGAGGCTGCATCCTCTTCACCACTCTTCTGCAGTGCCCAGCCACAGACCAGAGGCCTAGGGAGGCTGTGTGGAGGAACAGTGACATCATTGTTTTTTGGAGCAGTGGAAGCTCATGGTTCCTGCCACTCCTCCATGAAGAGAGGCCATAGGCACTTGGGACGAGGAAGGGAGTACGAATCAGGGCAAAGATAGTAGAAATGCAAAGCCCCACAAAATAATGGTCCCAAGCCACACTCTCCAGATACCCACTCTTGAACAAGAAAAGAGCAATCTGATGAGAGATAAGCATGGGATAAGAACTATGCTTTTAATGTGCACTCCAGTTGTGGCCTCAGCAGGTAGGCTTAGGGAAATTCCTTAGTTTGGAATGTTCATGTAAATATATAAATGAGGTTCAATAACCTATTTTAAGAAATAATTATTTTATAATCCATTTGAAATACCATCTAGGGAAATAAGGTATTACTGAGAAGCAAATGCAATTCACATTGAAGGAACCATTGATGAGTTCAGGCCAGTCTTACAGCCATAGTACAGTTTTCACTGATTCTGAACTAGTGACCAATTTTCTGATCTGTCCAGGAAGGAGCTTGAGCTCAGTCTTTTGTTAATGTTTCAATGTACACTAATAGTCATTATCAAGAACTCTTCTTTAAAGGAATCGAAATCATTTTTCATTGTAGTCCTATTTTAGGCAAGTATGACACTTTGCTTGTAAGCAGAAAATCCCAACCTAGTGTAATTTTTAAGAACAATATTGATTTGTTTTCGTAAGTTTTCCGAAGAGTGAACTGTCAAAGCATTCCAACAAATTAGAGGTGAAGAAGCTAACTTATGACTGAAATAGGGATAACAGACATAGCACCAACGGTTCAGAACCAAATATACAGCTCATCTAGCCTCTATTTCACTGCCTAGATCAGTACAGCAGAATGCAGAAGATAGGCTCTAGAGTGAGATTGTCTGTACTCTATTCCTGGCAGGAAATTTACTTGCACCATGACCCAGGACTCGTTGCTAATCTCTATGCCTGTGTATCCTTATTTGTAAAATTCAGATACTAGTTATAATTTATAATAGCGAGGGCTATTTACTGTTGTTCATGTAAAAATATCTGACAAAGGAATGAACCAATAACATTTGTTAGATGTTGTAAAGTTAAACAAAGGCATGTTAAGTTAAAGTCCAGAATTTTCAGTTCCTTCATACATAAATTATCTTACAAAATTGTAGGAATTGGGGTTTCCCAGGTGGTGCAGTGGTTGAGAGTCCGCCTGCCGATGCAGGGGACGCGGGTTCGTGCCCCAGTCCGGGAGGATCCCACGTGCCGCGGAGCGGCTGGGCCCGTGAGCCATGGCCGCTGGGCCTGAGCGTCCCGAGCCTGTGCTCCGCAACGGGAGAGGCCACAACAGTGAGAGGCCCGTGTACCGCAAAAAAAAAAAAAAAAATTGTAGGAATTGAATGAATGAAGATGGGTAAAATACTTAGCAAAATTTGTGGAACCTGGTAAAGCATTTAATTAGTTGTAGCTGTTATGAGCTATTAACAGTTTCAAAGAACAACACTTGCAGTTCAGGGATTGATTTCAATATAATTTGGCCTATGCTTTCAGTGATTCTGGAAATAATCATTAATTGTAAATAATAAATACTTTCAGTTTTTAGCAAACCTAAATACACATAATTTCTCATACATTCTGATAAAGAAGGATATTTTCTCAGAATTAATTATATCACACACCATTATGCTTTCCAGTGTACTTTCATAAATATCAAAACAAGATCCTGAAAGATTATATCACTAATTTTTTGTCCTATTTCAACCTTATCTAGGCATTTAATGGTGGTCAGTTGTTTTTTGTTCCTAGTTCCATCCTGTCATGGGAGCCACACCCTCATGGCCTCATCTGAACCTAATTACCCAAAGGCCCCACCTCCAAATACCATCATATTGGGGTAGGGGCTACAACATATGAATTTTGGGGTACACACCCTCAGTAACAACCATCTTAACCATTTTTAAGTGTGTAGTTCATTGGTGTTAAGCACATTATTGTGCAGCCATCACCACTGTCCACCTCCATAACTCCTTTCATCTTACCAAACTGAAATTCTATATCCATCAAACACTAACTACCTTTCCTTCCCTCCTCTCAACCCCTACCAATCATTTTACTTACTTTCTCTATGAATTTGACCACTTTAGCTACCTCATATGAGAAAAATCATACAGTATTTTTCTTTTTGTGACTGGCTTGTTTCACTTAGCATAGTGTCCTCATGGACAGCAGTGTTCTTGCTGTAGCATATGTCAGAATTCCTTCCTTTTTAAGGCTGAATAATTTTCCATTTTATGTATATACCACATTTTGTTTATCCTTTCATCCATTAATGGACACTTCGGTTGCTTCGCCTTTTGGCTATTGTGAATAATGCTGCTATGAACATGGGTGTACAGATATATCTTCAAGATCCCGCTTTCTGTTCTTTGGGGTATATACCGAAAGGTGGAATTGCTCAATGGTAATTCTGTGTTTAATGTTTTGAGGAACCAGCTATTGTTTTCCATAGTGGCTAATCCATTTTACATTGCCACACAATGTATTAATGCACAGTTACAATTCCTTACATTCAAGGAATAAACCCCACTTGGTCATGGTGTATAATCCTTTCAAATATGTGTTAAATTCTGTTTTCTAGTATTTGAGGATTTTCACATCAGTATTCATCAGGATATTGGTCCATTTCTTCTTGTAGTGTCTTTGTCTGGCTTTGGTATCAGTTGGCCTTGTGGAATGAATTTTTTTGGAAGAGCTTGAAGTGGATTAGTGTTAATTCTTTTTTAAATATTTTGTAGAATTTACCAGTGAAGCGGTCTGATCTGGAGCTTTTCTTCGTTGGGAGTTTTGATTACTGATTCAATATCCTTATTAGTTATAGGTCTGTTCATATTTTCTGTCTCTTCATGATTCAGTCTTGGTAGGTTATGTGTTTTTAGGAATTTGTCCATTTCATGTAGGTTATATAATCGTTTGGTGTACAACTGTTCACAGTACTTTCTTATAATCCTTTTTTATTTCTGTAAAATTGTTGCTTCAAAACCTCAGGAGTTCCCCAGGTGAAATCCAAAACTGGCCCCTGTACTCACAGGGCAAGGAGAAAGAGGCAGGCTCTCCAGACAGGTAGGTGGCAGGTTTAATTACCGAGGAAACTTACTTATGCTTGTCTTAGGTGCCTTAAGATGAGTAGATCTCTGCACCCACCCTCCAGAATCTTCAAGTTTATGTAGAGGACTTAACGGGGTTCAGTCACGTATACTGTCCAGATGGTCTCAACGAAGCGTTACTCTCTCAAGGCTGTGTTCCTGAAACAGCTCCTCCTGTGGGAACAGTGGGCAGAACATACATTCATTTCAAGGACAGTGGAGGGGGTAGGAGCCTCTGATTGCCTGAGTTCAGCTCATGGGTCAGTGGGTGGTCACGTCCTCTCAATGACCTCCAGCAAAAATCAGTTGTAATGTCCCTTCTTTCATTTGTGATTTTAGTTATTTGAGCCTTCTTTCTTTTTCTGAGTCAGTCTAGCTAAATGTTTGTCAATTTTGTTGATCTTTTCAAGAACCAACTCTTGCTTTCATTGATTTTCCCTATTGTTTTTCTATTCTCTATTTTGTGTATTTCTGACCTAATCTTTATTATTTTCTTTTTTCTGCTAGCTTTAGGTTTAGTTTGTTCTTTTTCTAGTTTTTTAAGGTGTAAATTTAGGTGGTTGATTTGAGATATTTCTTCTTGAATACAAGCATTTATACCTATGAGTTTTCCTCTTAGCACTACTTTTGCTGAACCCCATTACTTATGTTTTTGTTTTCATTTGTCTCAAGATAATTTCTAATTTCCCATGTTATTTCTTCTTTAACCCAATGGTTATTTAGGGGTGTGGTGTTTAATTTTCATATATCAGTTTTTAATTTTATTCCAGTCTATTGATTTCTAGTTTCATTCCATTGTGTTCAGAAAGTATTAATATATTTTACATGCTTTCAGTCCTTTTAAATTTACTAAGACTTGCTTTGTCACCTACAATATAGCCTAGAGAATGTTCTATGTGCACCTGAGAAAAATGTGTATTCCACTTGGGTATTATGTTGGTTTGAGTGTTCTGTAAATGTCTGTTAGGTCAAATTGTTGTTTAAGTCCTCTACTTCCTTGCTGATCTTTGTCTGGTTGTTCTATTCATTATTAAAAGTAGGGTACGAAAGCCTTCAACTGTTATTGTAGGGCCGTTTCTCTCGTCAATTCTGTCAATATTTGTATCATATATTTTGAAGGTTGGATGTTTGGTTCATATAAATAAAATAAAGAATAGAAAAACAGCAGAAAAAATAACCTAAACCTAAAGTTGGTTCTTTGAAAATATCAACATAATTAACCTACCTTTTGCTATATTGAGAAAGAAAACTCAGGGAAGACCACTCACAAAGGGTATTTTAGATGTTTAAAAAAAACCAAACCTGTCTGTAACCATTAGAGGAGAGATAACACATGAATAAAAAAAAATACATAGAATAGTCCTTGAATCTTTCTTCTAAGGTTTTGGCTTCCTTAAAAGCACCTTGTTATGGAAATGTTTTATAATAAAAATAATAAGGCCTATGGGAAAATAGTGTTCATGGTAGACTCCTCCAAACTCATACAGTTTCATGGGTTACACACAAAACCCATTCACTGTAAAAATACGATCACAGTTTTAAACATGTTAAATCTCTAATAAATGAGGAAATACTTTTGTCAAGGAAATAATACAGTGCTTTCCTTGAAAAAAGACTTGATATTTGTTTGGTGGCATGAAAGCAATGAAGTGAGACTGTGGGTTATGAAGGAGAGGTGTGTAATAGCTGTTCCCAAAAGTGGCTTTTGGCAGCTCACCCCTTCCTGTGTGTGCCTGCCACTTTTCCTACCATAAAATGAGGTCTGTTTCCTTCTCACGTTGACTCTGGGCTTGGACATATGAGTGGCTTCAGCCAATAAGATATTAGCAAGCATGATGCAAGTGGAGGCCTGGTAAGTACTTGCACATTGAGATTGGTCATTTAGGGATTGCTCCCCTGAGTTTCAGTCACTATTTTGTGAGAGACCCAACCTAGATCCAGAGAGGAAGAAAAATAAGGCATTGGTCATCAGGCCCTACTGAGCTCCCAGCTAACAGTCAATACCAACTTGCCAGCCATGTGAGTGAGGTCATTTTGAACATTTTCAGCTATTGGAGCTATGCCTTATGACTGAACAATTCAGAGTCCAGTAGATGATGAATGGTTGTTTTAAGCTACTAGGTTTGAGGTTATTTTGCAGCACTAGTTACTGAAACAAGGTAGAAGAAAGGATGTCATCATACTTAGATGTAAGCATAGTGCCCCTGAGGTATATAGTTGTAATTCATTGCCCTGTTTACTTCTACTCTGGCTTAAAGTCAAAATTTTAGTTTTCTTGTTTTTCTACTTTTCTTTTTTTTTTCTAAGTAGCTGCTAGAATGGCTTCAAATCAGAGGATACCAAAAAGCACCATATTGCTGCTGATGGCATGAGAATCTACTGGAGGGTTTTCTTTGGCCAGCTGAGTCACAGACAGAATTATCCTTCTCAAAACTGAAAAGATCGTGGAATTCAGCACTGCCTCTCTCACTCTGCCTTGGCCTCTTGCCTCTGCTTATGTATTAGTTTTCTCTTGCTGCTATAACAAACTGCCACAAATTTAGCACCTTTAAATAAAGGCCATTTATTACTGACAAGTTTGTGGGTCAAAAACCTGAGCAGGCTTAACTCTGTCCTCTATTTGAGATCCAACTGCCAAAGTCAAGGTGTGCTCTTTGTTCATATCTGGAGGATCTGGGAAGAAATCTACTTTGGGGCTCATTCTAACTGTGCAGAATACAGTCCCTGACATCTGAGGCGCCCGTTTCCTTGCTCTCCGGCAGCAGGGGATGCACTCTGCTCCTGGAGTCTTCTCACATGGCCTGCTCCATCTTCACAGTCAGCAGTGCTGTGTCAAGGCCTTCTCACTTGCTACTCTCTCTCACTTACCTTCAGAATCCACAGAGGGTCCCCTGTTCTCCAGCCCTTCATTGCCACTTCTGAGTTTGCAGGTTCTGTCCTGCTTGGTCAAATATTGACTGAATCAACATCATCATTATGAAAGTGATATTACTTACTACTGTAGGTACTAATAATGTTACAACTACTAACTGATAATGTTATAAACTGCATGCCAGAAATTTGCCAATTCCTTTAAATACATTAATGGTAGTTTTTACAACTCTGACAGCAATCATTAAAGGTAAGAAAAATAAGACTCAGGGGGGTCAGGAGGTCACAGTGACACCTTAGCCAGGAAGTATATACATTATTAAGCCCCAAGTGTTGCTGTAGTCTGTTATGGAGCTTCACCAGATTGCTATCCATGGTGACCAGGGTGCTCCTGTGTTATCCCAAATCCCTCTCACAATTCATCTCACCTATGCTTAGGTATCTCTGTACTGTCCAGCTAGCTCCCAGTTTTAACATTTTAGTTCATCTTTTGCTGAGTTAGATTAATTCATGGGGCAAAGCTAAAAAGTGGAGGACCAAGTTAGAAGACCCCATGCGGTAGGAAAAGGAACTCTGTGGTACAACCGTTATCTTCACCTACACTAGTCCCCTGTCCAAACCAAAGTAATTTGCCAAAGTTATCAGTCTCTCTTATTAAGACTTACCAAGGAGGATAGGTCCAAGGCTTTCATGTCCTGACATTGTCCTACCTCTTTTGTTCATCTTCCACCATTCCCTGGCTGCCATTTCAAGATGTAGCTATACCCAACCTTCAGTAAGAGTTGTGATGCTGCTCTCACAGGGCAAGCCTACCATTGTACATACTGTTCCCCCATCTGGAATGACTTTTTTTCCTCCACTTCCCCTTTGTTATCCAAGTCATACTCAATTGTCAAGATGAGGTCAGGTCTTATCTTCAGGAAGATGTTCCTAACTCCCTACAATCTGGCTGGATTAGATGTCCCTCCTCTGCACTCCCACAGCACTCAGAGCTCAACAATGATCACAGTCACCACATTATACTGAAATTATCTACTTATATGTCTGTCTTTTCCATTTGTTCATGAGCACCTCAAAACCAGGAAACCTGTTTTCAATCTTTATACATTCATCTGCTTTCATTTGTGGTGAGGTAAATATTTGTTGAAGGCAGCTTTTATATTTGCCCATCTCTTATCATTAGGTTGAATTATCTACATAGTAAACTCCTTTGTGTCACCACCATCCCCAGTCTGTCTGCGTGCACATGCACAGATTAATAGTGCCCAAGAGATCTCTTCCAATAATAATAAATAACAAATAATTGTACACTGTTTACTTAATCTAACACATAAATTCCAGAGCGCTTCTGTTCTCACTGCTGAGAAAAGTTGTTAGATAATCCATGGAAAAATCAATACCACACAGTTTAGCTTTCTAGTAGGAAGTATTTCTGGTGGAAGAAGGAATTCCTATTGCATTGTGTACATTTGTATTTCGTACGTATGTACCCAAAGCACATACATTTTTGTTTTCAGGTTGGACAAGCCCACTGAGAGTTACTGCCTTACAGCCTCATCATGAATACTCAGAAAATCACCTATATACATTTGATGAGCAAGCAACATGTACCGTAAGGATTTCTTACTGCATAGCATTATGTAGTATTTGTAATCAATTTATTTCCTTGTCTGTATTTGATATTTTATGCCCTGTAAAAAATAGCTACGCATACTGAGTGAAGTAAGTCAGATAGAGAAAGAGAAATATCATGATATTGCTTATATGACGAATCTAAAAAAAAAATGATACAAATGAACTTATTTACAAAACAGAAATAGACTCACAGACTTAGAGAACAAACTTATGGTTACCAGAGAGGAAGGGTGGGGGGTGGGAAGAATAGTTAGGAAGTTTGGGATTGATGTGAACACACTGCTAAATTTAAAATAGATAACCAATAAGGACCTGCTGTATAGCACAGGGAACTCTGCTCAGTATTATGTTACAACCTAAATGGGAAAAGAATTTGATAAAGAATAGGTACATGTATATGTATAACTGAAACTGAATTTGCTGTACATCTGAAGCTAACACAACATTGCCAATCAACTATACTGCAAATATAAAATAAAAAGTTTAAAAAAAATATAGCTACCATTTATAAAGTACTCCTTATGGGCCAGGCACTATGTAGAAGTTCACAGTTATTGTATATTATGCATGTCTGTGCATCCCTACAACAGAACAGTACTATGGAAGAAGCATGAGTAGTTGATGATGGTAGTGCCCAACACAGGCCCCTCTACTGGCAAGTGCACCCTCCCCAGTGGCAGTAGGCAATAGCCACTAAATGTCTGCCAGCTGCCAGCTGGACACTGCACCCTCCCACATTGACCACTCAGGCTTTGGCCAATGACTGACTTCCTTGAAGAAACAGAATAAAGCTAGATTTCAGCTGAAACCACATTCCCACTGGTGTGTTTTCCTTGTCGTATCCTACACTTCACCTAGAGCACTCCCACCATGTATTAAATGAACAAAAATTGTGTTTGAGTCCCTGCTTCTGGACAAGACAGTGTTGTTATCCCCATATTATTTGAGAAATCTGAAGTCCTGTGATGTTAAGCAACTGACTTTTGACCACAAACTTTAAACCTAGATATATGTCTGAATCATCCTATGTGGATTAATAGATTCTAAACCCGTGATATTTAAATTACTTGAAGACTCCCCAAGGAATACATAGATATGACAAGGGATTTAAAAAAAAAAAAACAGCTTTACTGAGGTATGTTTTACACACCATAAAGTTTGCCCATTTAAAGTGTTCAATTCACTGGGGTTTTTTTCTTCTTTTTTTTAGGATATTCACTGAATTGTACAACCATTGCCACAATCTAATTTTAGAACTCTTTCATCACTCCAAAAAGAAACCCATGCCTATTAGCAGTAAAGATACGGATGCTTTCAAGGAGTCAATTTCCATTTCTGTTACTCTTGTCTTTACTCCTTCCTAAAGTTGAGCTGCCTGATAAATTATCTGTACTTAGAGATACAGATTGATTTCTTCTTTTCCCTCTTTCCCCACCTCTCCCTTTGCCTTTTCTAATTTTACCAAAAAGGAATGGAGCATACCGCCCACAAATCATGTACTAGGGTATATGGCCATGGAATAAAAAGGTCATTCAAAATAAATGTCACCAATGCCTCCTTTACTCAAGATGCCATCCACCCGTGCCAGGGCTTCATGTCTTTCCTTGTCTATGCACTTTTCTCTATAAGAAAATTAAAGCATTAGAAATGAGGGAGATTTGACCTGTTTTGAACTATTCTAAATTCAGATAAAAGGCAGAATTTGTTTACAAGCGTAAAGAAAATTTGTTAGTTTCACTTATTCCATCTCCAGACTCTTCAAAGAGTCTATTGCTCCTTCTGGTAAGTCCTGTGAAAGCAAATGAAAGGGAACATTAAAAGAAATTGAAGGCATTAATTAATGCCTTTTTTTTTTTCCATCTAAGGCTACAAATTTATGGCAAGACTACATGCTTTACTTAGCTATATATTGTAGAATTAGAATTCTGAAGTTTGTGCTTGTCCTGCAAAAGCTTATAGAGCATACTTATTTAAATTTAAAATAAGCTTAGACTTTTATGACAAAATCTTGATATTTTACTACCAGTAGTGGGAGCTAAGTAACATGGGACAGTACTTCCAATGGAAAAACAACTGGATTAACATTTTTTTTAATATCAAAAAGCTAATAAGGTGGAGAGAAATTACTGGGCCAATAAGAGGGTAGAAACTCTAAAATTTAAGCTATCACTTAGGGTCACTTCGGCCTTACAGCAATTTGCTGTTCTGGAAAGGGAAACTAAGCTTTAACTGAACATTTCCTAGCCTCGTGGGTATAAAACATCAAAAATTAGAATTGGTCTTTGAAAACCACCCACTACACCTGAAGGCTTTCAGTTTAGAAGTAAGGGTAGATCAATAGTAAAAAGCCTTGAACAGACTACAGCTGCTTCACAATAAAAGAGAAAACCAAGTCTTGAACTAGTATTAAGGTGATCCTAGATTGCTATCATTCCCAGAATCCAGACACATACAAATAAAACTTCTTTGGAGGATGATAGTATATTAATTACTAAGCCTCAAATTATTTCTGTCAATAACTTTTAAAATATAATGTTTAACACACAATCAACAGTAACCAAACACATAAAGAGAAAGGACACTGTGAATGAGAATCAGCAGAAATGAGAGAAAACAAAGAGAGACAAAAATTGATTCTAGACATTGGAAATATGCATAAAATGTTCAAAAAGAAAAAAGAGATTAAGCTCAAAATGTTTGTAAATAAGTTAGAAATTAGAAAATGCAAAAGTAGAAAAATGAGAAAAATGTAGTACCAGAACTTAAAAATACAGTAAGCAAAGAATAAGGTAGATGGGTGCTGTAGCAGATTAGACACAGTTAAAGAGAAAATTGGAGAACTGTAGATAAAAGAGAGGAAAATACTCTTGATGATGCACAAATTTACAAAAAGATGGAAAATACCAAAGGGAGAGTGAAAATCATAGAAGATACAGTGAAAAAGAAAAATATGTTTATTTGGAATTCTAGATGTGTAAGAGAATAGGAGAGAAGCAACATGTGAAGACACAATTATCATATCCACTGCTGTTTATTTATGGAGTTCCCTGTGGCATCCCCTCACATATTCTGCTGTACATTAAGGATTAATTATTAGTAAGCCAATCATGACAGCAGCAGCAGCAGCTGCTGGTGTCAGCCCCAGCACCAACAAAAATGGCAGCAAGAGTCCCAAAAGACAGACAAAGCAAAGAAAACACAAAAATGGAAAGAAGGAAATTTTTGAAAGTTATTTCTTCACATTGTTTATGGTAATTGCATTGTTTAGAATCTGGGCATCAGTTGTATCTTTTGTTAGGTCTTGTTGAACATGAAATTCTAGGAAATTGAAACATGATATTGTTGGTGATGGAGGATCTTAATGTGAATGATGCTAAAGTATCAGGACATAAAGAGAGATCTCCTTCAATGTTATTAGTCTTGTCAGAAGAAACTAGGAAATATCTAGATTTATTAGTAGAGGTTCCCATTGAATCAGATTCCAAGAGCACTAGAGATGAAGTCAAAGATCAAATTTAATCACTTCTTTATGAAATAGTACACACAAAACATTCAGAGAACAGAGATAGAAGACACACCAGCAGAAGAATAGCTACTAGAAGAATAGCTACTAGAAAATGAATATTTATTAGGAAATTATGTAGATGATAAATTTGAGGACCTGCAAACTAAAACATTTCATAAAGAAACTGAAGCTACATACATAGAAGTGGCAGCTTACAAGACTAATCAGGAAGTGGAAGAGAAAAATCCAGATTCCAATGAAAGACTGTGCCATGATACCAATGACATGATAAACCAAGATGATGATGAACAATAATATGAACCGCCAGAAAATGGGGAGACATAAATTCAGACCCTGCTAGGAAAGATTTAGTTACCTTCTTGAAGAAGAACAATAGGAAATGACAGACTTCAGAATCTTTGCCCCTAAAACTAGAGGAGGACCAATCTTATCCACACATCATTCACCAACTTTTTCAATACATTGCCCACAGGAAACAGGTAATTGTGACAAATCTTGTAAATTGCTGAAAAGCTCACGATCTAAAACATTTTAAATGAATTGTAGTCAATTGTAATTTAGAATACTTTTTAGAAAGAAAAATTTGATGTGATTTTGCATTTCTACATGCCTCGTTTTTGACAGTAGATCCATTGGTTTTATTTGCTTGTTTGCTCCATCTCTCACACAGCTCTTATTCTTACCCATGTTTATGTGTAATCTTCAGAAAAGATGTAGAAATTATATTGATGTAGCAGCAATTGCTTTGTCAGATTTCATATTTGTTAGTAGTGCATAACACTAACAATGTTAGGTTTATTTGGGTGACCTCTCTTCTAAACATGGATTTTTATCTGCAAAGGCACTGAAATATTTGCTAATGACTCCGGCTGATAGGAATCATCATAAACTGTGTGCCAATTAACAGGACAATGGGATACTGGGGAATATAGTACATATAGATATACTGGAACTAGATATAGTAGAATAAAACAGCACAATTAACAACTCAACCTAATAGACATACATAAATAAATCTTTTTGCAAGGACCATTTACAAAAATTACCACATACTATGCCATAAAACAAGTCTAAAAATATTTCAAATGTTTTAAGTCATACAAAGTATATTCTTTGCCCACAAGACTATTATGATAGGTCAAAACACCTTAGAAAATCATGCATTTGGAAATATAAAAATGTATTTATGAATGAGTGATGGGCCAAAGAAGAAATCATAAAGGAAACTAGAAAATATCTTGAACTGAATAATAAAATGTTGTACAACACAAGGAATATAGCCAATATCTTACAATAACTATAAATGGAGTATAACCTTTAAAACTTGTGAATCACTGTATTGTACACCTGTAGATTATATAATGTTGTACATCAACTGTACTTCAATTTAAAAAATAAAATCGATCCAGGGAAGGAAAGGCCAGAAGTGATTCCGCCATGGTTGGGACCAGCCTGGAGCCAGTGAGGGTCCCTGACTGAAGACCCAGCAGGCCAACTTTGAAGAAAACCTGGAGAGAGGGCAAGTTACAAATCATCCCCAGACTACAGGAGATACAGACATGGCAGAAGGGACTTGGATCAGGTCAGAAGCCAATTTCCCTGTGGTACCGAAGTGGATCCTGATGAATTTACCCTTGCAAGTGAAAAAGATGACATTACATACAAAACTGGAAGTTCATGAGTAAGAAGAGATTGAATAATAACTCAGACATGCCTTTTGGGGCATTTAAGCCCTGAGAAAACCCTCTGTGACCCAGAGACTCACAAAGCCAGAGGAGTTGTCATTCTTCATGGTCTTGGCATTGCCAAAGGCCTCCAGCAGGGGATTGGCATTGATGATTTGATCTTCCATAGCTCCCTGCAAAGACAAGAGCAGTCCTCACATCTGGGCTTCCTGAGCGCTCTGACAGTTTTGATTCTGACACACGCCAATCAGACCCACCTGCACTTTGCCAGTTTCATCCTTCTTCTCTCCAGTAACTGCAATTGTTGCAAAGTACTGGATGACACGCTTCTCTGTGTTCACAGTCTTTCCTGCTCCAGATTCTCCACTGTCAAAAAGAAACCAAATAATAGATAAGAACTACAGCTTACATTGTCAATATCTAAGACAATCACCACAAACCAGAGAAGAAGAAAAAAAATCACTTATGTGGTCAGGATGGACTGGTTTTCATGGTCTGCGAAAAAGAAATCAAGACACTCAGTTTTTAAAAATAGTACACATCCAATATGAAGATTATCGACTCTGTTCAGATTAAACATAGTTTATTCTTTTTAACATTTTGAAGATGTTGCCTGTGGGCTTGGTTTTGTGTGTCGATCCCAGATAGTACTTGCCTCTTGCAGTAAAATTTGTTGAAAATGAGAGGCAAAGAATCATCTGTTTTTTCTTAAAATATTATTAACTTTAAAATTTATGGGAAATTTCAAACATATACAAAGGTAGAGGCAATAATGTAAAGAGCTCCTATGTACCCATCATACAGTTTCAGCAGTTATTATTTGGCCAGTTTTATATAATCTATACTCCCATCCTAAACTCACTCAGTTATTTTAAAGAAAATTCCAGGCATCATATAATTTCATCTGTAACTATTTCAGTAAGAATCATACAATTCTGAAGTTTCATTTAACAGATGAAGAAACAAACCCAGAGAGAAATAAGTGATTTTCTAATACTTACATAGCTTGTCAAGATATTTAGGTCAACAGTTTATATATTTTTCTGGCCTCTTCAAGGTTCTTCATATTAATTTGACTACTGCTAATTCTAAAAAAGGAAGGGATCTGGAATTGTAAATGTTGGTGCTCATTTACTTTTAGTTTCCTTGTATACACACTTCTAAGGGATAAAAACAAAAATTATCACTAAAAATAATAAAATAAAAAAATAAAATAGAATTATTGTAGTAACGTGTGGGAATGCAACTATAACAGTGCCTGGAGGAAAATATACAATTCTTTTTTTTTTTAATAATCTTAAATGAATATGTTATAACAGAAGAAAACCTGAAAATTTAAGAACTAAGCAAGCATCCATCTCAAAATGAGAAAAAATAATAGTCAGTTTTTTAAGTTGAATGGAGGATATAACAGATAAAAGGAGAAATAAGAAAAGAGGAAACAAACATATATTTTAAAAGAACACCAAGGCCACAAGTTGGTTCATTGATAAACAATTGATAAATATCTGCCGATGTCAATCAAGAAGAACAAAAATATATCACTTTGGGGAAGCCAAATATAATGCTGACCTCATAAAACTGTGCATCCCCGTATAGCCTCAAAAACAGTGCAGAACAAGACAAATGACAGTATACAAAAACCTTACCATCACCATAACTAGAAGGCAGAGAAATTCTAAATTTCAAATTACTGCAAGTTCAAAAGAAAAGAAAACAGAAAATCTTAACAAGTCATGTCTCAACATCTCAACAGAAACCCTTTTTTTGGTAAATGAGGACAGCTTTGGAAAAATTACATGGTAGACAGAAGCCAGCTTAAAATTGGTCAAAACCATGGATAAATAGACAAAGTCTAAGACTAAAAATATAGATAATGTCTAAGTCTAAAGTCTAAGTCTACAGAGAAGGAGTTAAAAGAACATGTGATCTGAGATGGCAGTTTCTGAAAGGAATTGATTGTGTAGGAGAAGAAGGTTAAAAGAAAAAAAAGAAGGAAAAGAGGAAAATTTAAGATCCTGAAAAGCAAAAAGAATTATTTAATTGGAGATTTTACAAACCCTCTGGTAACAGTCAACTAATATAAGGAAAAAACTTTATTAAAGAAACTGTACTTTGCTACACTGACAGAAGAGGGTACCACTGAACTACAAATATTAAACCACACAAAATTCACAGAATTAATTAAAGAAAACTGTAATAAAACAGAAAACAAGAATCAAAATACTTTAGTGAAAAAAATTCCTCCCCAAATCAACTTTAAAAATATTGTAATATAACACTCTGAAGTTTGTTATATATTTTCAGGCAAGCATTTGAGAATATGAAAATTGCCTGCATAAAGAAATTCAAAAATTTACAAATAAAATTTTAGGTGAAGCAAATGAAAGGAAATTCATTTCAAAATTAAGACCTAATTTCTAATTACATGATGCCCAAGGAAACTAAAATTAAATAAGATTTAATTAAAATAAAAATTTAATGGGGGACTTTGAAGAAAGGTAGGAAGACATCCAAGAGAAGAAGAATGAAGAATTAGTTTAAAATATCTGAGTGAAAATGGTTGAAAAGGAAGATAAGCAAAGAAGAAAAAAAAATATGTATAATTGGAGTCCCTGAAGAAAAACTAAATGATAGAATGGAAATAATATGTTAAACCAGGGTTTCTCAACTTTGGCACAATGACATTTTGGGCTGAATAATTCTTTGTTGTGGGGGAGATTTTGTGCAATGTAGGATGATTAGCAGCATTCCTGGCTTCTCCCCACTAAACACCAGTAGTACCTTTCTTGATGAATGAAAATCCATTCTCAAAATGCTAGAAAATGGACAGCAAAGGAAAACAACAATAGTACAAAGCGAGAAAAAAGATAACAGAA